GGGTTGGAAGTTTCTAGGAGAAGCCAAGCTGTGGACCTATTCTGGCTGCAGCTAGTGCTGGGCCTGGGGCCATTTAGCAAGACATAGGGGCTGGGGTCTCACTGAGGCTGGCTGTTGCTTGTTTGAGAGAATTTAGGGAGTTGTGAAGCATGAGCCAAAATATGGTCTTAATTTTTATTGTTTATGTTTATTGGGCATATTTATTTCCTCTTTTGTGAAATTCCTGTTAATGTATTTTTCTATTAAGTTGTTGGTATTGATATTAACAGTATGTTAGTCATTCTTTATGTACACCTTATACTAATACTATGTTGGATCTGTATGTTTGAATATATTTTCCCAGTTTGTGATTTGATGTTTTATTTTCTTTAAGGTATCTCTCTTGATTACCAGAAGTTCTTAATTTTAATGTAATCAAAATCTATTAATCTTTTATGGTCCATACTTTTGTTGTGACTTAAGTCATCTTTTTCTAGCCCAAGCTCTAAAAGATATTCACCAGTACCTCCCACTAGGATATTTAATGGTTTATGTTTTAAACATAAGACCTTAATCACTCTAGAGTTGATTTGTGTTAATTGAATAAAGCAAGTAATCAACTTCATTTATTTTTTTATAAAGATGTCTACATTTATTTATTTATTTATTTATGATCCTCACTCAAGGATGTTTATTGGTTTGAGGGGGGGGAGAGAGAGATCAATGTGAGAAAGAAACATCCATTGGTTCCCTGCCTTATGCACCCCCCCTGGGGGTCAAACCTGCAGCCTAGGTATGTGCTCTACCAGGGATGGAACCCGCAACCTTTTGGTGCACAGTACGATGCTCTAACTGAACAACATGGCTAGGGCCAAATCTCCATTTACTGATCTAATTTAAATTTAACTTCCATTTCAATTTAATTTTAATATAATTTAATTCTTTTTCAGTTGGGCTTCTATTTTATTTTAATTGAATTTATTGGGGGTGAAATGTATTGGTTAACAAATGTATAGGTTTCAGGTATACAGTTCTGTAATACATCATCTGTGTGTTCTATCGTGTGTTCACTACACTAATCCAAGCCTCCTTTCATCACCATTTATTCCCACTACACTCTCTTCTACTTCCCCGAACCTTCCTTGCCTCTGGTAATACCACACTGTTGTCTGTCTCCGTGAGGTTTTTTAGATCATTCCTTTACATTCTCACCCAGCCCCCAAGCTCCCTTTCCCCTGACAGCTGTCATCAGTCTGCTCTCTCTGAGTCTGTTTCTGTTTTGTTTGTTAGTTTATTTTCTTGGTGAGTCCATATATGAGTGAAGTCATGTGGTTCTTGTCTTTGTCTGACTGGCTCATTTTACCTAGTGTAACGCTGTCCAGGTTCATCCATACTGTCATGAAGGGTAAGATTTCCTTTTTTTAGGATGAATAGTATCCCACTGTGTAAATATACCACGACTTTTTTATCTACCCATCTACTGCTGGGCACTTGGGTTGCTTCCAAATCGTGGCTATTGCAAATAATGCTGCAAGGAACCTAGAGGTGCATATATTCTTTCGTATCAGTGTTTTGGGTTTCTTTGGGTATAGTCCTAGGAGTGGAATTGCTGGGTCAAAATGCAGTTTCATGTTTAATTTTTTGAAGTAACTCTATACTGCTTTCTACAGTGGCTACACTGCTCTGCATCCAACGGCAGTACATGAGTAGTATCCCTTTTGTCCACATCCTCGCCAACACTTGTTTGTTGACTTATTGATGATGGCCATTCTGGCAGGTGTGGGGTGATATCTCACGCCTGTCAGAATGGCTATTTAGTTTTAATTTGCATTTCTCTGACGATTAGTGACATTGAACATTTTTTATATGTTTATAGGCCATGCGTATGTCCTCTTTAGAGAAGTGCCCATCCAGGTCTTTGCCATTTTTTTAATTGGATTGTTTGCTTTTTTAGTGTTAAGTTGCATACATTCTCTATAAATTTTAGATATTAACCCCTTATCAGATGTATTGGCCAAGATATTCTCCCATTCTGTAGGTTGTTTTTCTACTTTATTGATGATTTTCCTTTGCTGTGCAAAAGCTTTTTGGTTTGATATGGTTTCATTTGTTTATTTTTAATTTTGTTTCCCTTGCTTGAGGTAATATATAAGAAAATATTCTATGTCTGCTGTGAGTAATGCCTGAGATTTTAATGCCCTGAGTTTTTTTTCTAGGATTTTTAAGTTTCAAGATGAATATTTAAGTCTTAATCCACTTTGAGTTTATTCTTGCATATAATGTGAGTAGGTGGTCTAGGTTCATTTTTTTTGCACCTGTCCAATATTCCCAACACTATTTTATTAAATAAATATCTTTAGCCCATTGTATGTGTTTGCCTGCTTTGTGAAATATTAATTGACTATAAAGGTGTGGGTTTATTTCTGGGCTTTCTATCCTGTTCCATTAATCTGTATGTCTGTTGTTCTGCTACCATGATGTTTTGATTACTTTGGGCTTATAGTATGGTTTGATATGAGGCAGCCTCATTCCTCCATTTTTCTTCTTCTTCCACCATATCACTATTGCTATTTGGGGTCTTTTATGGTTTCATATACATTTTTGTAGTATTTATGAAATATGCCATTGGTACCTTAATAGGAATTGTACTGAATATCTAGATTGCTTTGGCTAGTGTGGGCATTTTAATAATGTTAATTCTTTCTGCCCACGAATATAGTACATGCTTCCACTTGATTGTATCTTGTCTTTTTTTTTCTTCAGTTCTTATAATTTTCTGAGTACAGGTCGTTTACATCCTTGGTTAAATTTATTCCAAGGTATTTTTTTTTTGAAGTGGTTGTGAATGGGATTGTTTTCTTAGTTTCCCTTACTGATAGTTCATTTGGTATATAGAAATGAAACTGATTTCTGGATATATGTATTTTGTATCTGCTACTTTACTGAATTTATTTATTAGTTTTAGTAGTTTTTTTGTATAATCTTTAGGGTTCTCTGTATACAGTATTATATCACCAGCAAATAATGACAGTTTTACTTCTTCATTTCCTATTTAGATGCCTTTTATTTCTTCTTGTCTGATTGCTTTGGATAAGACTGCTAATACTATATTAATAGGTGTGGTGAAAGCAAGATATTCCTTTCTTGTTTCTGGTGTTAAGGGAGACACTTGTAGTTTTTGCCCATTGGGTGTGATGTTGGCTGTGGGTTTGTTATATATGACCTTCATTTCATTGAGTTATGTTCCCTGTATTTCCACTTTTCTCAAGAGTTTTTATCATAAAGCAGTGGTAGATTTTATCAAATACCTTTTCCTCATCTACTGATAAGATCATGTGGTTTTTATCCTTCATTTTGTTTATGTGGTGTATCATGTTTACTGATTTGCACATATTTTGCCAATCTTGCACTCTAGGAATAAATCCCACTTGATTGTGTTGTGTGACCTTTGAAATGTTTTTGCTGGATCTGATTTGCTAATTTTTTTTGCTAATTCAGTATTTTAGCATCTATATTCATCAGATATATTAGCTGTAATTTTCCTTTTTTGTAGTGTCTTTGTTTTTAGAATTAGGATAATGTTGGACTCATAAAATGAACTTGGAAGTCTTCTCTCTTCTTGTTTTTTTTTGGAATAGTTTGAGAAGGAGAGATGTTAGTTCTTTTTTGCATGTTTGCTAAAATTCCTCTGTGAAGCCATTTGGTCCATGACTTTTGTTTGTTGGGAGTTTTTTTAATTACTGCTTCAGTTTTACTGGTTGTAATCTGTTTGTCCAAATTTTCTGATTCTTCATGATTCAGTTTTGGAAGAATTGTATGTTTCTAGGAATTTATCCATTTTGTTCATATTGTCTAATTTGTTGGCATAGAGTTGTTTGTAATATTTTCCTAGAATCTTTTGTATTTCTGTGGTGTCAGTTGTTACTTCTCTTTTACTTCTGATTTCATTTATTTGGGCTTCTCTCTTTTTTCCTTGATGACTCTGCTTAAATGTTTTTTCTTCTTGTTTATCTTTTCAAAGAACCAGCTCTTGGTTTCATTGATCTGTTGTATTTTTGTTTTTAGAAATTATTTCTTTTATTTGTGCTCTGATCTTTATTATGTCCTTTTTTTCTGCTTACTTTGGGCTTTGTTGTTCTTTTTAAGTTTCCTTTAAGTGTATAAAGTTAAATTGAGATTTTTCTTGTTTCTTGCATTAGGCTTCTAATGCTATGAATTTTTTCTTTGGACTGCTTTTGCTGTGTGCCATAGATTCGGAGGTGTGTTTTCATTTTCTTTTGTTTCTAATTATCTTTTGATTTCTTCCTTGATCTTGGTATTAACCCAATTCATTGTTTAGTAACATGTTATTTAGCTTTCTTTTCTCTGTGTATTTTTCAGTTTTTCACTTGTGATTGATTTTTTAGTTTCATACTATTATGGTCAGAGAAGATGCTTGATATAATTTTTGTCTTCTTAAATTTATTGAGACTTGTTTTATGTCCTAAAATGTGGTCTATCCTAGAGAATGGTCTGTGTGCACTTGAAAAGAATGTATATTCTGCTGCTTTGGGGTGATATGCTCTCAAGATACCAATTAAATCTATCCGATCTAGTGTGTCATTTAAGGTGTCCATTTTCTTGTTGATTTTCTGTCTGGAAGATCTGTCCATTGATGCCAATGGGGTGTTAAGTCCTCCACTGTGACTGTGTTACTGCAAGTCTCTCCCTTTATTATATACATCAGGATTTGCTTTACATATTTAGGTGTTTATCTGTTGAGTGCATAAATGTTTATAAGGGTTATATCCTCTTGTTTGATTAAATTTAATCTTAACTATAGTGGTTGAACTTGCTACCTATGCATATACCAATGTTTTGAATGCAATGATCTATTTCTGGACTTTTAGTCTGTGCTTTTGTTCATTTATGAGTAAGTCTGTGTATGTTTGTTGTATTCATCTTTTAATATTTTTATCTTTGAATTTTAGATTCACACACATATACACCTAGATTTTGAAATACTTTGTTTTTTCTACTAGGTTTTGGACATAGTAAAAACAAGTATTCGTACAATTCTTCCACGCATCTGGAAGGTAACTGATGTTGATGAAATATATTTATATCGGATTTTTAACCGGGTTTTTAATCGCTTACTCTGGAGTCATGGCCAGGGACTGTGGAATTGTTTCTGTGATTCAGGGTAAGTTCTAAGTTATCTTTTATTATTTTTATTTAAAATATTTTACCAAAAGTTATACAGGTAGCTCAATAACATGGTTAAATTTCTGTAATAATTTTTTTTAATTTGGATTTTTTTACTACATGTAATTTTTAGTACTCAACTATAATTTATAGCAGTTAAGCTGAGTTCACGGAGCTGATGATTATGAATATAACACCACCAAACTATTTTGAATTCAGGGGAAAGAGATGGTCTTAATTAATGAAAAATCTCAGTATCCTTAAGGTTCTTCTGCTGTCGTCTTTATGTAAACAACTTCCAAAAGTATGGCTATACTCATGCTCCTCTCCAGAATTTCAGTCCTGCCAAAGCTCTCGGGACCCATCATCAGGCTGGCCTTAAGATAGCTAAAACCAAACATTTCATACCTTCCTTTCATTCGGTAATGAGTTTCTTTGTTGACTTCTCTTAACCCCATTGTTATTCTCCTAATTGTTCAGGTTTGATATCTCAGGCACATCTGCATCTGCCTTGTCTTTCACTGTCTTTATTCAATCAGCTGCTAAATCGTGTTCATTTTTCTGTCACATTGTCACTATGGCTACTCTAGATTGTCTTTTATTGTTCTTAACAATTATCAAGTACTCGATTCGAAGTTGAATCGAACATAGATCCTTCCCTCACTAGATATTAAAAAACAATGGGAATAGGGCCAAGATACTATTCACTATGTGCTAGGCATTGTTCTAAACACTTTACATGTATTAAGTGATTGAATCCTCATAATGTGACTTTGAAGCAGTGCTCTGATTATCTCTATTTTATAGACAAGGAAACTGAGGCACAGGTAGGTTCTAAAGACCTAGTACACTGGGATTTGATCTCAGAGATCCAGATTTCATGCCTTTAGCCAATTAGCTCTGCTGTCTCTAATAGACAAAATAAGATATATACAAAAATAATGATCTTAAAAGAGACAGAGATAAGGGATTATAGGATCTCAGAGAATGGAGCCTTTTTTGTGATAGAAGGTAGAATTAATAGATTTCTAGGCATTTTTTGCCTTCAATTTTTTTTGTTTCCTTTACCCACCCTAGTCTCAGGGTCATTTCCTAAATTCTGTAGTGAGTTCCATCATTTATTGTGAAAGTCTAAACTTCTTATCTAGAGGCACAAGACTCTCAAGATGCTGGTTCTTTCTTATTTCTCTAGTTTTCTCCTCATTACCTCCCTCCTTGAACTCTGTTTTAGAGAAAAAAAACCTCATTATTTTTCAAATATCTTAAAAGTGTGCCTTTTCTTTCTCTCAGCTGTTGAACGTCATGCCGTGGAGTGTCTGACTGGGTTGCTTGCTCCAACCCTAGCCCTTCAATCCCTTCTGCACTATTTAAACCCTCTGTAAAGGCTCAGGCTATACACTTCCTTTGTACAATCTTAACAAACAACTGCGGTCTGAAATGATCTCTCAATGTCCGCCATTTAAATATTCTAGTCATTTAGTACTGAGTCATATATAGCATTTGCAGGCTCACTCTCACCACCATGATTATCCTCAGCTGCCATTCACCAGCATGGAGAGTTCATTAGGTGCTCTGGGTTGTAATGAAATCTGAGAATAATCCAGGCTATAAATTATTTCTTCAGAGACTTAAGTGAAATCTTCGGACTGTGCTCCATGGCTCCTTAGTTGATATAGAAGTTCTCTCAATGTGAATTCATAATTGGAATTTCTGTTTGTTTGTTGATTCGTTGTTTGGAATGCCACATATGACTGTCAGCTACTCTCCACCGTGGAAGGCAGTGAGGCAGTGAGGCAGTGAGGCAGTGAGGCAGTCTGCTACTGATACTGGAGCTGAGGACTTTGAGTCCATGAGATAATCCCCAATGCCAGACCCCGATGAGGTATTACTAAATTAGGTATTACATTTAGGTATTACTAAATGCCTAATACCATTTTACATGTAAAATATTATTAAAATCACTACAATAATATTTTGGGTAATCTATTATTATTCTCATTGTGTAGGTAAGGAATTTGAAGCATAAAGAGACTATATAACTTGCCCAAGTTCTCATAGTAGCTAGGTGAGCCTGGATTGAAATCTAAGTTTTCTGAGTCATCAAGAGCTCAAGCCCTCAACACTATGCTTCATTAAGTTCCCTCAAAGTAGCCCTGACAGTGGTTGCAAAGCTTGCTGTATTGAAAATCTACAGCATTAGTCAAATCCCCTTCCCACTGCCCCTGGGCAGGTAGAGTGGAAGTAGCTTTGAATCCATTTATTTTTTAATTTGGTGGTTTGTAGAGGTGAGTTTAATACTGGGTTTTATTTTGCAGCTTTACAAGTGAATTTCTTAGACTTCCTCAGATTCATGAAGTCAAATGGTGGTGTGTATATTTGATTCTCAGTGTGGGGCCCAGAGGAGTCCCACTTATCTTTAGATCATATCTGGTCAATGTGTGCACCTTTAACTGAGGCCTAACAGCCTGCCTACTAAGTCCAGATAGAACTGTTCTCTTAGTTTAGTTCTAAAGGGAAGACTTTAATAAGAGGTTGCAGTTATCTTTCATAGTTAGGTGCAAGACTTTGGAACAATATAATCCAAATAACTCTGGGCACACTTGATTACTGCCTCTACCTGTCAACAGCCCAATAATAAAACAATGAGTAAACCATTCTCTGTCCACACCTAGAAATATCAAAGAATGTGTAGATATTTATGGTAGGTTTCTTTGGAATTAGCCTGGAGGTTATACTAATGCATCAAATAGAAAACATCTTTGTCCCTCTCTTTTGCTCTTCCAGTCTGCTGAAGTCTGTGCTTAGTGACCTTTTTTTTTTTTTTAAATCACCACATGCAGCCTGCTGGGAGTGTTACATTGCCCCACATTTTGAATGTGTTCTTTTCAAGGAAATGTCTCTTAGAATTGTCCCCATGGTTTTTTTAAAAAGACTTTATTTATTTATTTTTAGAGAGAGGAGAAGGGAGGGAGAAAGAGAGGAAGAGAAGCATTGATGTGCAAGAGATATATCGATTGGTTGCCTCTCTCACGCCCCCAACTGGGGACCTGGCCTGCAACCTAGGCATGTGCCCTGACTGGGAATCAAACCAGAGATTCTTTGGTTCCACACTAGCCAAGGTGTGTCCATCATGTTTTACTGGGATAACAGAAGTCTAGATTTTTTGAGACTCAGACAAGGCCTGAGATCTTGGGAAGAATGGCCAAGGGAAGTAACATTTCAGTGAGATCTGAAGGAAGAGGAAAAATGGGTGTTTTCCAGGTAAAGCAAAGAGGAGGGTGCAGGGGCTAGTATGGGAGGAGGAATGTTGTGTTTGGAAAAGCCCTCTTTCTTCTCAAAACGCTGACATGTAAACCCCAAAGAAAATAATCTGGCTTGGACAGTTTAGCCAAAGGCATTTTCTTTGGAAGTTTCTCATGGAAAAGGTTTTCTTTTAGCATCTTAGGGGAAGGGGAAATTGTAAGAAATATTCTAAGTCTGCTTCTAGGCCGAACTCTCTGCCTATTTGAAAATGTATGTATAACATGAGGGCTACTTAAAATGATGTGAATCTTGTTATTCTCGTATGACTTTCATTTCAATGTGTTTTTGTTTGTACTTCTCAGCTCATTACTCTTTCTGATGCTGATTACCCAATTGGCATAATACAGATGTTTGTACTTAACTTCGGGCCACTCATCCATCCACTAAGCCTTCGTCCAGTAAAGGGGAGAGATGTGTCAGTTTCACCACCGATAACTGCATTATTATTTTGATGAGAAAGGGCATGAAAATTATTGCATTACTGGGTTATATGAAGCTTTTTAAGTCTCCAAATTTCATTAATAATTCCCCTTTATTGTTAGAGGTATTCATAATTCTGTATCTTATCAATATATGACTAACAAAAGTCATTTAAAGTAATTTTATTTCATGTTTTCTGAGGATTTAGGTGTTCCTGAAAGACCTTTTTAACCATTTAATTTTTCTTTTTGAACCCATGGATTTCCGTTCTTCCATTTCCTTGGAATTTAGATTCAGAAAGCAGACAGATGAAACCCTGGGTTCTTTGATAAAAGCACTGCTATTTTTAATTATTTCCACATCCTTCACCTTCTTAAAAAGTTTGTGTAGCATTGAAATTGAGATACTGTAGTGTTACAGGAGCATTTCACATTTACTCAGCTGTGCCAGGGGGTGGGTAGGAAGTGGGGTCTCAGTGAAGGACAGGTTTCCTTTGTGCAGAGGGGGTGCCATTAGCTGAGTACTAAACGAAGCAAGTTGTGTTCATTTTCCTTTTTCTTTATGAGGGTTCTGGCATGCTGACACTTAGATATAGATAACAGAGTAGAATGTGGTCTTCAGCGAGTGGTGGTGAACATACACACCAAAAGTAGGTACAGGCCCTTGATCTGTATGTTTATTTTAAATATTTAAGGAAGAATGAGAGAGTGAGGAGCCAAAGCTGCTCAGATTGTAACTCACATATTCTTCAGAATGTTACATCAGTTTAGAGTGTCAAAGAAGAAGCTCTTTTATCTTTCTTCCATTTTACTTGTCCTTTTCTTTTTTTTTATTGATTATGCCATTACATTTGTTCTATTTCCCCCCATTCCCCTCCACCCTGCACACCCCTCCCCCACCCCCTTTAGTTCATGAACACGTGTCTCAAGTTCTTTAGATTCTGTATTTCCCCTACTATTCTTACCCTCCCCCTATCTATTTTCTATCTACTGTCTATGCTGCTTATTTTCTGTGCCTTCTCCCCCCTTCTCCTTCTCCCACTCCCCTGTTGCTAATCCTCCACATGATCTTCATTTCTATGGTTCACTCCTGATCTAGCTATCCTCTTAATTTGCTTTTGTTTTAGGTGTGGTTGTTGATAACTGTGAGTTTGCTGTCCTTTCACTGTTCATCTTTTTTATCTTCTTTTTCTTAGGTAAGTCCCTTTAACATTTCATATAATAAGGGCTTGGTGATGATGAACTCCTTGAATTTGGTCTTATCTGAGAAGCACTTTATCTGTCCTTCCATTCTAAATGAAAACTTTACTGGATAGAGCAGTCTTGATTGTAGGTCTTTGGATTTCATGACTTGGAATACGTCTTTCCAGCCTTTTCTTGCCTGTAAGGTCTCTTTTGAGAAATGCACTAACAGTCTGATGGGGACTCCTTTGTAGGTGACAGTCCCCTTATCTCTTGCTGCTTCTAGAATGCTCTCCTTCATTTTAATCTTGGCTAATGTAATGATGATGTGCCTTGGTGTGTTCCTTCTTGGGTCCAACTTCTTTGGGACTCTCTGAGCTTCCTGGATTTCCTAGAAGTCTATTTCCTTTGCCAGAACGAGGAAGTTTTCTTTTATTATTTGTTCAAATAAGTTTTCCACTGGTGGCTGTTCCTCTTCCCCTTTTGGTACCCCTATAATTCGAATGTTGGAATGTTTAAAGATGTCCTGAAGGTTCCTAAACCTCTCCTCATTTTTTTGAATTTTTGTTTGTTCATCCTTTTCTGTTTGGTCATTTTTTTCCTCTTTCTGGTCCACTCCTTTGATTTGAGTCCCAGTTTCCTTTCCATTACTATTGGTTTCCTGTGCATTACCATTTATTTCAATTAGTTTAGCCTTCATATGTTCTTCTAATTTGGGACTAAAGTCAACCAGTTCTGTGAGTATCCTGATCACCAGTGTTTTGAACTGTGCATCTGGAAGTTTGGCTATTTCTTCATCACTTAGATTTATCGGCTCTGGGGCTCTGAGTTGTTCTTGAGCCATGTTTTTATCTGTTTGTGCCTGTTATGTATGAGGAGCAGAGCCTTAGTTGTTCACCAGGACGGGGCCACCCAGGTCACTGGTTTGTGATACTGTATGTGGGGGCAGGGTCAGAGTGGGAGCAATGGCAGTCCTCTCTGCTAGCCCAGTCCGTCCCACCACTTGCCCCCACCTGTTTATCCGAGCAGAAATGTGTGAGCCCGCCACCTTCATTGGTTTATCTGCACGCAAATGCTTGACTGATCTCAGGTAGCCAGCCATGCCTCTTCCCTGGGTCCGCCCGCAGCTAGCCCGCACCTGGGATCCGCGCCTTCGGCTGCTTGCACACTACACTGGTCGCGGATTTTTTTGGCCAACCCACTTCGCTGCTGGCTTCGCCTCTCTTACTGATTTAGCTGAGCATTGGTTTGGTTGTGTTTATTGTTGTTAAAACTTTGTTGTTTTTAGATTTGGTTGTGCATGGACGTAAGGTGTTTCCACCTACGCCTGCATCTTGGTGGAAGTCCTACTTGTCCTTTTCTTACATCTGAAAAAACAAATTATCATGATGTGAGTGACCTGATAGTAGATCTGATCAAGTGGCTCCGAGGGATCAAAAAATATGTAGAGGGGAGGTTTGTGGTAGTGGTTGATTTTTGCAGAAATACCCAGAATCCCAATGGAGAGAAAACTGTCAGAACACAGGATACTTTCTGAGTGCATTTATATTTATATGAATTTTTTATTTCTCTGGGCTCAGACATATAGGGCCTGCTAGATAGACTTATTAATTATAAACATATTCCCTAATTAATTATTTTTTGAGTATTTTCCTTGATCAACTTAGGTGAATTGGATATATACACACATATAAACATATAAACATATCTAGTTTTACTTATATTAAGTAATAAATTTTGTTTTTAGAGTTAATTTAACTAGCATATTATTAGCATATTACTGTTGACTCCTGAGCATCTCAGAACATGCAAGAAAATTTATTTCTTTTAATCAACTCATTTGAATCTTATACTTTTAAGAGAACCTGTCATCATTCAGTGATGACAGCTATCTTTTTGAGACCATGTTTCTCCTGAAAAAAAGTACTCTTTCTAATTAAAAATAACTTTATGAATTTCTAAAGCATTTAAAAGGATTCCAAAGATATCAAATATCCGCAGAAGATATAAAATGGAGTCTTTGAATTTCCACTGGGAAGTCTGTTTCTTCAGAAAAAAATTTTTTAATATTCCTTTTCTTCCTGAAAATATACTCTTTTCTCTTTCTAAGGGCTAAGTAAATTCGTTTATATAAAAGGAGATTTGAACCATTACCTAGCCTCAGACCAAACATTGCCCTTTGGGCTTGAGAAGAGTTTCATTTATACTAAGAGAAAAACTCATTCCCTTTCTCTCTCTCTGTTTTCTGGTGGTGGTGGTGGTGGGTGATGTGACAAGGTATGTCCTGATTTGGACCATGACAGTAAACTTAATAATTGTAAACACACACATGTGTGTGCACACAAATGCAATTGAAGTTCACCGAGAATGTAAGAACATGAACACTCACTACTGCATACTTTGGTATAAGCGGAGTGAGGACCCTGCCTTTGGGGTTGCAGTAGGGCAGTATTTGTTGGGATAACATTACTTCTAGCTACAGAACTCTAGGAATATCATGCACATAATTATATCTGAAAGTTTTGAAAGGTGTGGTCATAATTAAGGGATTAACCTAAGTTCTCCTAGTGCAAAGAGGTCACAAATATCCTTTAAATTCTTTTTTTTGTGGGATTATTATTAACATAAAGGTACATAAAGTTTCCTAGAAAACCTAAATTTCTGGAATACCTATGTTTTGAGAAATTGGCTCAGTATTTTACAAACACTTTAGTACAGAGTAGCTCAATTTTTTTAGAAGATTTTGGAAAACCATCCTTTCTTTTACCCACAGTTGGCAGCAGTAGTCTTTATAAACAAATGTCTATGAAGTCTACGTTGTTTTTTAATACCAAGATTAATTTACTAACATATATTTATTTTATACCTTTCAGTCATTTGTAGTCATTTCAAATGTGCAAAAAACTATTTCTAGTTTTCCTTATTGCTTTGTTGCTAGGTAAGTGATATAGCTGGTTGCCATTTTTAACAGCCTCATGAGGTCATGTCTGTTTCCATGCCAACAGATCCTCCTGGGAGAGTATTTTCAGTAAGAGCCCTGAGGTGGTGACTCCTTTGCAGCTCCAGTGTTGCCAGCGCCTGGTTGAACTATGTAAACAGTGCCTGCTAGTGGTTTACAGACACACAACTGATGCAAGAGGATCACTCTCAGGCATTTGTACTGATTGGGGTAATTCCAGGTACTTGTTTAAGTTGCCTAGACTCTGTGAGTTTTATACCAAGTGATGCCATAATGCAGTTTGAAATTGAAAGGCTTTTTTTTATATGGCGAATGAAAAAGCTACAGACTGAAAATTCAGACATACCCTTGCCTACAAAAGAGTTTGAATTTGCACAATCGTTACCTTTAAAGGACCATACAAACCTGAAGGGGATGGCAGTAATGAAAATGAGATTATTGGGTTTACATACTTTTGCTTTTATAAGCCAAGTAAGAACCGTTAAAATTGCTAATAAACTTAACTTTTTTCCCCAATAGGGCTATTTTAACATTTATTCTTCAGCCTAGCAGCTGAGAAGATGCCTTTAGTTTAATTTTTATTGTTCAGTATGCTTCTACTACTCCTTTCATAACCAAACAAATCAGTGGGAGATGTATTTAGTTAAGTTCTATTTAAAAATTGAATTTTTATAAATGTTACCCACTTTTAGGTAGTTTCCAAAAGCATAAAAATATTGTTATTAAGTTGCAAAAATTAATGTAGAGTAAACAAGCACATTTTAACATCTCAAAACAACCATAGTTCCCATTAGAATTGAAGATGAATATATGACTTTATTTTTCACATATGTTAAATTGTATTACTCTTTAGGATAGAGGAGAGTAAACCATGACTTTGAAAAACTAAGTGATCTTGAAAGGATGATAGGATTCAACTAGCAGTTGAGTAGACAATAAAGAAAATGAAACTACCTTAGCTTGAATTTTTTTTTTGACCTGTATTGGCTTGGAATGGTTTTCACAAAAAATAATGTGAGATGGACCTGCAATCTTTGCTTGACCTGGATTCTGTTATTATACTCTTGCAATACCTTTAACCTACTTTAACTCTCTGGAAACAGAAGCCGATTGATCACAATGGTAGAGGCGAAGTTAGTCATCAATTTTCTATATATGTAAATGCCAAAGCCATATTCTATAGTTTCAATGATTTGAAGCAAATTATTAAAATAAACTTACACTACTTTCATTAATATTTCCATATGATTTAAAAGAATGATGGCCATCTTAAAGACTTTACAACATATATATGAAAGAGGCTTCTCTTTACGTAGATCACTCTGGAAGCATGATCAGGAAAACTTTAAATTCTAGCCAGGAAGGATTGTTTCAATCTTTTTAATGTTACTCTTACAATTCCAGATTTCATGATCTATTTTCTATTGGTGGCTCATGTAACTTTTGTGAGTAGGCAAACTAGGAGGTTGCTCTCGAGAAAGAAGTTGTACCTTAAAGTTGCTTCAGGCCTTTTTATTTTTTTTTCCATCTGGTGGTCAGAAGAGATATTCCTAATCCTGGAATCTTGAATTCTCAACTTCTGTTAAATGCTCATATAACCCCAACATAGTGATTATAAGCCTTTTGGGAGGAGGTGGTGGTGGTCATTAAACATACCCTTTTCCCTGCCCCAGTCCATAACCATGTGAAAGAGAAATGTAGGAGTCAGATAGACGGTCACCAAAATGTAGCTCCTTATTCAGAAAAGCTACACTGAGGTACGTGGATATAATAAGCAAGTGAGTTTTCTAATACTGAATTGAATAATTCAATGTACCCATCCACTCAAAGGCACAGCTGGATCAACCCAAACATTCCACTAGCACTACCTCATAAAGTCTAGTTCCATTGTGTTGGCACAAGAGCAAGTAGGAATGCATCCTTTCTGCTGATAGGCTGATCCAAAAAGAGAAAGGGGTTGAGCCAAGTACATCTTTTTCTTTTTTTAATACCCACAAATCAGATAGTTTACTTCTGGTAGGAGCCAGGAAGTTTATATTGGGGCAAGTTCTTCTACATAGAAACACAAGGAAGAGAGAGAAATAAACATGTCCTACTCATATCTAGCTATTAAAATCCAAGTCAACGTCACATTAATTTTTAAGGAAAAGATGTTCGTCTTTTCTTTTCCTGAGAGATTAGAAGCCTATATCTTTTTACCTTATATGTAGAAGCTACTTAAGTTGATATTTATTAATAAAATACATGTTGTAAACATATGCCTAATATAAATAATTTATGAGGATTTGCTAAATACTTTATGAGGAGGTGTATATATATTTGGCTAGTTGATCTATAAAATTAAAAAAAGAAGAAAATAGAGCTAACATCGGTCAGGTTTATGGCCATATTTTTCTTGACCACAGATTTCAGGATATTTCTTAAGAAGCTTTGAATAGTATGTGGCATCTAATATTATCAGAAGGTTGTATTATTCCTGATACAACCTTGTAGTATTAGAAAATCAGTAATCGAATAGACTTATCAAGTGAAAAGCTGTTTCTCAAAGTTGGACTGGTAACTACACAAACAGAACTGATAGGTAAATCCAGATGATCAAGTTTATGTATCCAGGAGACTGGAATTCTTGGGTCCAGCTCAGTATTTCTCTATAACTAGACCTACTTGGGAAGCTTTGGAATCTTCAAACACTTCGTAACCTCAGCATCTCTGTCTCATGTACTGAAATTCCATATAGGCTTATATGAAAAAGAGAGTTTCATGGCTAAAAACATTTTAAAAAACACTGAGTTAGAACTGCTGCCTTTGGTAATAGGGCCATAGTTATTTGGACAAAGCCTTCCTGTGATAACAACTAGAAAAGCTGGAAAAAATACCGAAACATTTGCTTGAAGACATCAGAGAATATTAACCAGGCACTTGTAATGAGTGTATTAACATATATTGAATTGAAACACAAAGAAGAGAGAAAAAGTACAAGTACTTAATACTAGTACTAAGTAGTGCTTTTGACAAACTCTTGGGCCTAAGCACAAAGTAGGAGTTCAGGTCCTGTAAAGATTGGGGCCTTTAAAATGCCCTAGATTCCTAGGGGTAACAATGTTCCAGATATTTTGCAAAGCAAAAGTTGACAGAATTTTGAGGAAGAAAAGACAAATCTACAATCATACAGGACAATTTTAATATAATGATTTTTTCTCTAAGTATAGAATACTTTAATAATTAAACATTTAACTGTCATTTGTAAAAGTAAATCCAGTAACTTCAAGAATACAATACACGAAGCACACCAGAAACTTTTACAAAAACCAAATAGTAGAATAATAAAATGCATTTCAGCAAATTTGAGAAAATTGAAATCATAGAGTTTTTTTTGTGACCACATGTCATTAAGCTAGAAAACAATAATAAGATAACTAGAAAATTCACACTTTGGAAAGAAAAAAGTACACTTTTAAATAACCTGTGAATCAAAGAGGAAATCATAATGCATGTAAGAAAATATTTTAAACTGAATTATCATAAAATATGACAAATAAAAACTTGCAATATATAGCCAAATCATTATTTTGGGGATATTTATAGACTTAAATGAACATGTTAGGAAAGAAGAAAGGGAAAATTAAAATGATCTAAGCAACCATCTTGAAAAGTGACAAAATGACATTAAAATAAATGAATACAGAAAGAGAAAATAAAACTAAGAGCAGAAATTAATAATACAGATGCTTTTTATTTATTTATTTATTTATTTAAATATTTATTTATTTATATTTAGAGGGGAAGGAGAGAGGAAGAGAAACATCAATGTATGGTTGCTTCTAGTGCGTCCCCTGCTGGGAGCTGGCCTGCAGGGAATTGGCTTGCAACCCAAGCATGTGCCCTGACTGGGAATTGAACCGCGATCCTCTGGTTCGCAGACCTGCGCTCAATCCACTGAGCTATACCAGCCAGGGCAATACAGATGCTTTTTAATTATGATGAGATATGTTCCCCTAAACCCACAGTTGAAAATATTATAAGTCTAAAATACATTTAATATACCTAACCTACTGAACACCATAGTTCAACCTAACCTACCTTAAATGTGCTCAGAGCACTTATATTAGCTTATAGTTGGGCAATTATCTTTTTTATAAAAGATTATTTTTAGAGAGAGTGGAAGAGAGGGGGAAAAAGAGTAAGAGAAACATCGATGTGAGGGAGAAACATCAGTCAGTTGCTTTTCACATGCTCCTGACTGGGGACCTGGCACGTAGCCCAAGCATGGACCTTGACCAGGAACTGAACCAGTGACATTTCCGTTTGAGGGGTGACACCCAATCCACTGAGCCACACCAGTCAGGGCCAGTTGGGCAATTATCATGAGTTTCATCTCAAGAGTAATTGCCTTTCTTTTCTTTTCACGAGAAGCAGAAGAGACACATGGGCATTTTGTAGAAATGATAGTTTACAAAAACAGAGTCAAAAAATGCTGACAACACAGTATACTGTAGAGTATTGGTTGTGTACCCCTAAGATCACCTGGCTGACCAGGAGCTGTGGCACACTGCTGCTGCTCAGAATCACAAGAGTATTGTACAGCATATCTCTGGCCTAGGAAAAGATCAAAAGTCAAAATTGGAAGTATGGTTTCTACTGAATGCATGTCAGTAACTGAACAGACTTACTGAATGGGCTTACTTATTCAGTGGGCTTGGTTAGCCCTGGACCAGTAGATATGCATTCAGCTGAAAAATTTTACATTGAACCATCATAAGTCAGGGATTATCTGCATAATGAAACAAACAGAATAAAAAAGATCAGCATGGCGAAATATGCATTTTTGAAAGGACTAATAAAATGAATAAGCTACTGGTGAGACTGGTCAAATATATAAAAGACAGAAATAGCATCAATAACAAAAATAGAGTGCTTGCTGCGGCAGCACACATGCTGAAATTGGAGTGATGGCAGAGAAGATGAGCATGGCCCCTGTACAAAGATGATATGCAGATTTGTGGAGTGTTCCATATGTTCAACATCAGGTGTAACAATATCCACATCATAGGAATGCCAGAAGGAGATGAGTGTGAGAGAGGGTTAGAGAACCTATTTGGAGAAATACCGGTAGAAAACTTACCAATCTGGTGAAGGAAAAAGTTCACACAAGTTCAGGAAGGACAGAGGCCCAATTAAGATGAACCCAAAGAGACCTATACTAAGACACATCATAATTGAAATGGCAAAGCTTGATGACAAAGAGACCATTTAAAAGGCAGCAAGAGAGACAGTTAGTTACATATAAGGGGTCCCCATTAAACTCTCAGCTGATTTCTCAACAGAAACACTACAGGCCAGAAGAAATTGGCAGGATATATTTAGAGTAATGATAGCTAAGAACATGCAGCCTAGATTGCTCTAACCAGTGAGTCTATAATTTAAAATCAAAGGTCAAGTAAAGAGCTTCCCAGACAAAGTAGGGTTAAAGAAATTTTTAGTCCTGGAACTACCAAACCAACATTGCGAGAAATGTTATAAGGACCTTCTGCAAGAAGAAGAAATAGAATAACAGAGGTACAATGTAAAAATAGCAATAAATAAGACCCTATCTATAATAACCTTAAATGTAAATTGATTAAATGCTCCAATCAAAAGATACAGAGTAACTGAATGGATAAGTAAGCATCACCCATATACCTGCTGTCTACAAAAGACCCACTGCAGAGCAAAAGATTTCCACATGTTAAGAGTAAAGGGATGGAGGAAAATATTCCACACAATGGAAGCAAAAAAGGGGTGGGAGGAGCAATACTTGTATCTGACAAAATAGACTTCAAAACAAAGGCGAGAAAAAAAGACAAAGATGGTCATTATATAATTCTAAAAGGATCAATCCAACAAGAAGACATAACACATGTAAATATATATGCACCCAATACAGGAACATTTAAATATATTTAAAAACTCTTGGTGGACTTTGAGGAAGGTATTGACAACAATACTGTCATAATAGGGGATTTTTTTCACCCAACTGTCAACAATGAACAGATCTTCCAGACAAAAAATCAACAAGGATACTGTGGCATTAAACGACACACAAGATCAAATGGATTTAATTGAGGTTCACCTGTATTTCACTCCACAGAAGTATATACATTCTTCTCAAGGATACATGGATCATTCTCACAGATAGACCACCTGTTAGGCCACAAACGAGCCTTAACAAATTCAAGAAAATTGAAATCATGTAAAGCATTTTCTGGGATCACAAGAACATGAAATTAGAAATCAACCTCAATAAAAAGACTCAAAAACATTCAAATACCTGGAGGCTGAATAGCATGTTATTAAATAATGAATGGGTAACCATGAGATCAAGGAGAAGATTAAAAAATTCTGGAAGAAAAATGTACACACAACAAACCAAAACCTATGGACACACTAAAAGCAGTCCTGAGAGGGAAGGTCATAGCACTACAGGCCTACCTCAAGAAGCAAGAAAAATCTTAAATAAATAATCTAACCCTGCATCTTAAAGGACTAGAGGAACAACAACAAACAACAAGTAGAAAGAGGGAAATCAAGATCTGAGCAGAAATCAATGATACAGAGACTAAAAAAATAATACCAAAGATAAATGAAACCAGGAGCTGGTCCTTTGCAAAGATAAACAAGCCTGGTGAACATTTAACCAGACTCATCAAAAAAGGAGAATGAGGACCTAAATAAATAAAATCAAAGGAAAGAGGCAAAATAACACCTGATATCACAGAAATACAAGGTATTTACTACAAATAACTATATTCTAAGAAATTGGTCAACTTGGGCAGAATGGATACATTTCTAGAAGTGTACCATCTCCCAAAACTACAATGGGAAGAAGCACAAAACCTGAATAGACCTATAGCAACGAAGGAAATTGAAGCAGTAATCAAAAAACTCTGTCACACAAAAGCCCTGGACCAGATGGCTTTACAGGAAAATTTTATCAATCATTCAAAGGACCATCACTGATTCTTCTCAAACTATTTCAAAATATTCAAGAGGAGAGAAGCTCTTCCAAGCTCTTTCTATGAGGCCAATATTATCCTAATTCCAAAATGAGGTAAAGACATAACAAAGAAAGAATAGGCCGATATTCATGATGAACATGGATGGTAATATTCTCAACAAAATATCGGGTCTGGCAATACATCAAAAATCATACATCATGCTCAAGTGAGATTTATCCTGGGCATGCAAGGTTTGGTACAATATTTGCAAATTAATAAATGTGATTCATCACATAAAATGAAAGACAAAAATCACGCGATCATATCAACTGATGCAAAAAATCATTCAATGAAATCCTGTATCCATTTATCATAAAAATACTTAGCAGATTGTGAGTAGAGTGATTATACATCAACTTAATAAAGGCCATATGTGAAAAACCTACAGCTAACATCATTCTCAATGGGCAAAAATTAGAAGTGTCCTTTTAAGATTAAGAACAAGACAAGGATGTCCGCTTTCATGGACTCTTATCCAACTTAGTTCTGGAAGTCTTAGCCACAGCAGTCAGAGAAGAGGAAGAGATAAAAGGCATTCAAATTGGAGAGGAGGAAGTAAAGCCATCATTATTTGCAGATGACATGATATGTACATAGAAATCCCTAAAGATCCCACCAAAAAGTACTAGACCTAATAAATGAATTTGGCAAAATAGGAAGATACAAAATTAATACCCAGAAATTGATGACATTTTTATATACCAATAATGAACTATCAGAAAGAGAAATTAAGAAAGCAATTTTGTTTACTATTATAACAAAAAGAAAAAATAACGTACTTTAGAATAAATTTAACCAAGAAGATAGAAGATCTGTACTTGGAAAACTGTGGGCCACTGAAGAAAGAAATCAAGGAAGATACGAATAAGTGGAAGCACATACTGTGTTCATGGATTGGAAGAAGTAACATCATTCAAATGGCCATTCTACCCATGCCAAAGGAATGGCCATTTGAATGGCCAAAGCAATCTATACATCCAATGCAATTCCTATTAAGATACCAATGGCATCCTTCACAGAACTAGAATAAATATTCCAAAAGTTTATATGAAACCAAAAGAGACCCTGAATAGCCTTAGCAATTTTACAAAAGAAGGACAAAGGAGGAAGTATCACAACTCCTGATATCAAACTATACTATAAAGCCACTGTCATAAAAGTAGCCTGGTATTGGCACAAGAACAGACAAATAGATTAATGGAACAGAACAAATAGCCCAGGAATCGACCCACACCAGATGAGCAATTGATATTTGACAAAGGTGGCAACAGCATACAATGGAGCAAAGACTGTCTCTTCTATAAATGTCTCTTCCCAGTTAGGAAAACTGGACAGGTACATGCAAAAAGAAAAAGGGGAAAAAAAAAAAGGAAACTAGACCACCAACTTACACTGTACACAAGAATAAACTCAAAATAGATAAAAGGTTTAAATATAAATCATGAAACCATAATCCTAGAAGAAAACATAGGTAATAAAACTAAGATATTCAACATAGAAATATTTTTGCTGATATATACCCTACGGCACTGGAATCAAAGCAGAAAAGAAACAAATGGGACTGCATCAAATTAAAAAGCTTCTGTGCAGCTAAAATAACTGTCAGCAAGACAAACATAGAACCCACTGGATGGAAGAACACTTTTGCCAATTATACATGCAACAAGAGTTTAATCTCCAAAATATACAAAGAACTAAAAGAACTCAGTGCCAGGAAGATAAACAACCCAATTAAGAATTGTGCAAAGGACCTGAATAGACACTTCTCCAAAGAGGACAAATAAGAGTGACTGTAGACATGAAAAAAATGCCTAACATCACTAATCATTAGAGAAATACAAATTAAAACCTCAGTGAGATATCACCTTACCCTGTCAGAATGGCTATCATCAATAAATCAACAAACAACCAGTGTTGGAGAGGATGTGGAAAAAAGGGAACCCTGGTGTATTGTTGGTGGGAGTGCAGTCTCTAAAAATAAGTAAATAAAGTTAAAAAAATCCTCATTAAGGAGGTAAAAGAGCAAGCTACAGAGTAGAAGAAGGTATTTGCAATTCACGTAACCTATAAAAGATTCTTATACAGACTGTATAAGAACTCCTACAAATTTTTAAGAAAAAAACCCAAAATACTCCATGGAAAACTCGGCGTGATACTTGAAGACGCTGTTTACAAGAGTTAAAAAAATGAAAAATAAACATTTTGAAAAAGAGTTTAGGCTGATAATCAGGGTAATGTAAAACTATAAAAATACTTTGTAGCTAGTGTTGATTAGAATATTATGTGTATATATAGTTAATACATATTAGAATATTCTAGTATATATATTACCACATTAAAAAAGTTAAACAAAAGAGAGTAATGGAGACTGCTGTTGATAGTGGAAATTACTACCTTTTAATAACAGTTTGGCATTACATACTAAACTCTACACTTTTCATAGCTATTCTGTTATGAGTAATTCTGAGTAGAGATATCCAAATATGTGTACCAAGATCATTATTACAATTATCATAGTAACATTTGCTTATAATAGCTAAAATTTTGAAATAACCCAAATATCTCTCCATGGAAAAATGGGCACATCTTTGTAATACTCACACAATGGAATATAATACACATTGAAAATGAACAAACTGCACATACACATAGCAACATGGATGAGTCGCTAACATAAAGTTGAGCAAAAGAAGCCAGACCCAAAGGAATACATACTCTGTTCCATTTATTTAAAATAAAAAACAGGTACAACTAAATTACAGCGTTTCTGGAATGTGTACTTGGGTAAAAAGGAAAGTCATTACCATAAAAGTCTGGCTAGTGGGTAACTTTATGGGGCCGGAGGGTACTGTGTAATACAGGGCTCTGGGGTGCTAGGAGTGTTCAGTTATTTAACCCAGATAGTGTTATACAAGTAATCACTTCCTAATATTCATTAAATTGGACACTTAAGTCTTGTGCACTTTTTGAATGTGTGCTATACTT